AATGTCTAATTTGTGAGGCTACTGTGAAGCTACAATCGTGGTTCTTCCAGATTTTGCTTTACTGAATTACTCTTTCCTACACTCCGAATTCTATAATCAGCAGCAGGAGCGACGGCAAAGGAAAGAACACAGCTCTTTTTCTAATAAAGCGTTTTCATGCTGCTACCGTCCAGTATAAGGGCTAACATTTCCGAACTAACAGTTTACTAATCAGTTACTAATAAATGCTCCACCATTCCGTGCATTGTATAAGTAAAGGATTCCCTCATTTTTTACATTATACAGCCGTAGCTAATTTAGGGGTTCGTAATAGAAGTAGAAGATTCCGAAGTAAAATTTAGGCTGGCAGTATGCATATCTTTTTGAGCAGCATATTTTCAAAGACCAGCGAGAAGCAATTTGAATTCTCTCGTTAATAAAAACCAGTCAACGTCAACCTTAAATTTCTGACACGCCAGGAACGATGACCGATTTGCGAAATTTTCAAAACAAGTCAGAAAACAGAAAAATTAGGGGGTGGTTGACGCCACTGCTCGAATAAGTAATAAGATCCGATTTGGAGGAAAAAAGCTTGCAAGCGTTTTGAAACGAAGCGGATGACATGGATGCGAGCGGATCTGCAACGGCGTCACAGTGTGCCGAACAGACGTAGCCAAGTGAAGCAGGCAACGCAAACGCCTTCCACCCTTACGCCTTCTATCTGCCCTGCGTGCTGACTAATTAAAGGGCCCCACAGGGCTAACGACACAAAGCCTGCCAGCTAAAAAGTTTGAGCAAACCGACAACATACATAAACATACATTCCCATTAAAGTTAGTGGGCCATGTCAAGGTCCATGGTAGTGGTACGAGGTCGCATAATCCCACTCTTCGAGCGAACTCTACGCCTGACGACTCGTCTCCTACTCCTCGAAGAAACAAGAATAGATACTCTTGCACTGTAAATCAAAATTTCAAGACGAAATCTCACAGGCAAACGGGAAATCCGCAGAGCAATTACTCTCTGCTCACTTTAAAATTTTGATAAGCTGATCCTAACTGGGCCATGCATGGAACTGGGAAGTGACACTCAAGCAGGTCAAGAGGGGCGTCGAGGAAAACTCTCAATTCACAGACCCCTCCCCTTGGTAATAACACATACTCTGGGTTACGGACTTCTATGAAGAAATTGGTTGGTCTATGAGGTACTCATGTTGCTGGCTTTGGCCAGTACGCTTTGTTCCGAGGGGAACACGCTAACAATTGAGCACGTATTCAAATGACCGCAACTTTTTCGATGGAATATTTGAGTAGTAGAGGAAATTTGACAGTGTCTTGACTTGTGGAAAAATTATGAAATAAAATATCATTTTTCGGGTCATCGACGAGGAAAACTCTGGAGAAGGGTGAAGTTTCACTCTTTGGGAAACTATAAATTCCTTCAAAAACAATGTTTCAGAAACGTTCCAGCTTTACTGGAAGATTCCTCTATTCGAAGTTCATTGAATTGACTTCATTTGCTCACTATCTCAAATTTTTTTTCAAAAACCATAACCTCCTCCGAATGCATCATATCAGAAGATTTAACATGTTGCTATGAACTAGGTGATTTGGTATCACACGGCCGCTGAGCTATCTTAACTATTCATTGCGAAAAGGCTTCGTTGAGCGCTTTCGTCTTGGTGTCGCCGAAAGGTTCTAATTATGGTTGGATAGGAATAGCTATCCGACTATAACACTCAATTCAGCCGCTCTTTCTGGCCATTTCATCCGAGAATGACTCTAAGATCTTTGCTCTGGAATCTTCCATGGGTGGTATATAGTAGGAGTGGACCGTGCTACGTACGGTGATCAAATCAGCTTTTCCCAATAATGGCGTTTGCATGGCACTAAATCAACTTTTTCCGCCAGACACTCCGAGCGCTCATTCTGTAAGAGCTCCGCTAGAGAGATCTGCCCACCAGAGGTGGTCAGGATCAGTCCCGGGATAGGCCTGGGCACGTTCTCTCACATGGCGGTTTCGGCTTGGTTTAAACGCTCCGCAGCGAAGACTTTGATCTTTCTGACGCAACACACGACTACTGCCCATTTTGACGTTTGACGGTATTTCCCACGGGTGATGATCTGTCTGGAGGATTGACGAGTACAAGGGCTTCACAATGCTAGCTGCTCGAAAAAGATTGCAGAAGAGCTTCGCCGAATATAGCGACAAGTCAACCTGCTTCACGACAACGCGCAACGTCGCGGGTGTTCGGTCTCAAGCCACAAGACTCTGAAGCCAGGCAGGACCGCGGCTGCCCGTCTGCCATATTCGTCAAACCTATCTATACACCTCTTCAACCTTTCCTGCTCGCTTGCTCATTACCTGGAGAACAGGAAGCTCGACGACGTAAACGAGCGCAAATCCGACACCAGAAGGTTGTTTGGCAAAAATCTTCCTAATTTCTAATTTCTGCGGTGTCACCCAAATGCCCGAAGGTTGGCGTAGTGTTGTTGTATCTAATGGTCAATATGTTATGGATCATTGAATAAATAAAGAATAAAAAAAATAAATTCAAAAATTGAGCTACAAGTGTTAAGGAACTTTCCTTCCAACCTAATACACTTTCGTCTTGCAATGCTCCACCCTTTCTGACGTAACCACAGCTCTTTTTCGTTGGAAAAATTAAACTGTGGATTATGAGCTTTTCTTATACGAAGTTATACGAGGACAGAACGACAGACGAAGCGCTTTAGAGTATGTAAGATATATATATATATATATATGTATTTAATATATACATATTCATACGTTACCAGTTGGCGCCGCACGCGTTGCGAGCACACCACAGTTCTGCGGCGATATCAGATGGCGCGGCGTAAATTCTCGAATTTGGCCCCATGCACTACGAATTTGACTTTCAGGCCGAATATTCTATCCGACTGTCCATGCTCTATCCACGGATGGCTTTTGATCTTCCCTTATTTCTGTTCAACCAATTGGCCCGCTGTTTCTCGGTCTCGGACTGCCTCTGAACCGATTTATAAATTTTGTAGTGAACTCCTCTCTTCTTTCATTGCATGTCCTACCTATGTTTTTCTTCCTCGCCTACCTCTTCCCACTTTTTACCCAAACTCTGGAACTTCCCGGAACCGATAGAACCTGTGCAACAAAACTCGCCCACCTTGTGTGCCAGGCGCCAAGACGCCACCAATAGTCAGTTGTACCTCTTCTCCCGTTGATACGGACCAGATTCTTTTTTTCGTGTTACAGGACTTCTAAACAAGTCATTTATTTTTGTGAGTACTTCGCCACTTTCGGTAGCTTGCCCTGGCCCCTCTCATAGCATTTGGCTTCGATCTTTTCACCCATCCTCTATCTTACCCCTCATGTGTTGTTGCAGTCTCGCTCGCAGACTCTGGAACCGAGTTGTGACTTTTCGTCGCAAACTCCGCCCACTTTGGTCATGCCCCACCCCCGACAGTTGACCTCCACTCCTCCACCCACCTCTATCCACCTTTTTCCGGCTCACTAAGACTTCCCGGCCCGAATTATGAGGACTTGTAGAAAACGCTGTACACTTCAGAGCGCGCTCCGCCCATTGTGGGCGGGCCTCCGCCCACGTCATGTATGCTGGGAACACCTTAGACATTGCTCCCCTACACCAATTTGTTTTCTGCTCTGTAGGCTTTCTCCCAACCAAGTTATCAATTTTTTATTAAGAGAGAGCCCACCGGGAGTGGGCTCCTTATTCAATCTGGCTTACCAATACACACCCTACCCATTTTCCCCAGTTTCGAGGCTGTTTTGGATAGAATTTGAAATCCTGGTCGTCAGTACCACTCATTTCGATGCACGCCACGCCCACTGTGGGCGGGCTCCGCTTAGCTGATGTATGTTTTGTACTTCGTCGAGACCTTGCCCACCCATCCCACACTTGACCCGGTCTCTCCAGGCGGATCCCCAGGAGCTAGGGAATTTCGTGACAGACATACAGACGACAGACAGACGAAGCGCTTTATAGTAAGTAGGATACATTGAATTTGACCACAGTGGGAACTGCGGCACATGGCATTAGCCGAACTCGCCCAGGGAATTCTCATCCACTCCCGAAGAAGGCTACCACTGCTCTGATTATTGCTGTACCCCCAACTCATCAAGACCCCTTACTCCTGTCGCGGATTCCCCAACGCATGCTTGCCCCTGCTTTCATAAGGCGTCACAACTTACCTACAGCCAGTGTCAAGGGTCACATTAGGCCGATTTTAAAAATTTCAAGACTCCCAGGCTTAGAGGGACGGCATCATACATTACTCTCAGTTGGTGATATATCGTTAGTAACGTTTAACCTTCCGCCAGTTTTCTCACAGCGACCCCACCCTAACGTTACTCTAAAACTGACGTCTACCGTTAGGTAGAAACCAACAAAAGTGCTGAGGATAAAGGTTGCTGATTCTAGTCTTATCAAAAAAGGGTTGCATCGCTTGATATAAATATGACTGAACGTAATAGCACAGGAAAAATTTCTGCAAACACCGTTGTGCTTTCCATGCTCATTATGGGCAAATTTGATATGTATGTATGAGAGAAATTGCTGACGCTATAATACAAGTGGGTATCTAATTGAATTATCACTGGATATGGGCCATCTTCACGTACAAAGGGCCCATATGTGTTTCGGCTAACTAATCACGTCAACATCGCCTATATAAACCTTCTTCTCCACTGTCATTTATCTCGTTCTGGCTGCTCAGCCTATTTTGGTCGCCTTTCTTACATGCTTAATTCCAATATTTCCCCAATTCGTGTCCGAATAACCTCAACAACGTTGCTCTGCATTTTTCCACGATTTTCACATGAGCGGTCATCCTTCTCACACTTGCCTCTGATTTGAGTTTTTCTCACATTTGGGTTCGTGAAGAGCAATGACGCCGAAGAGTTGCGTCTAATTGCGGGATTTTGTTCGTGATTAGGAGAGTCCGATTGTTGCTTCAGAGGGAAGACATAAAGGACCAAGAAAGAGATGAGACGGGTGGAGCTGGATGAGATCAGTTAACGCCACTTCTAGCTCCCGGGTTAGCCCCTTCCACGTCATTTTTAATGCTATGCTTGTACATTTGTTTTCTCAAAAGTTATTCCACAATTACTTCACTTTGAGTTCTAATAAATGTTGCTTACGCTTCGCGATAGCATTGCAGCTTCTCACAGTATTCTTCTAGTATCTTTCAGGTAACAATGATGAAGTTGACAATGTTCGCTGTTCTTGTTCTGGCTTGCATCCTGAATGCATTCGCATGGGCTGACTCGGTAAGATTTTCGTCTAGTCCATTTCTACAAACTGATCGGATAGAGTGTACATAATTTCAGGGAGAAGATGCAAACATCGATCAGCTTATGGCACGAGTATACCGAACGGTACTGCTGAAGTCGAAACGAAGCCGTGAGTTTCAAAAAATGGATTATAGAAGAACGTTACGTTGATACTATCCCCTGCCTTCCTTCTTATAATGTAAATAGCTCTGGGTGCAAACGTGGGCTGAGCAACTCAAAGCTGTTTATGCGTCTTCGTCTCATCTGATTTTCAGTTCACCCCATCACACCTTTTCATTTCAGCCTCAATGGGCCTGTCGTTAGCCGAATACATGGCGTCACCACAAGGAGGAGACAACTTTCACTTCATTCCATCTGGACGAAAGTAGACATTTTCGTACGTAGCCATTTTGGTTAGCCGGGAATATGTTTAGTTCTGCTCGTCGTTATCCGCTCCACATATTATGCCATTCACCGTCATCTTAGAGCGTCTGCCTTTTTGCCCACCAGCCACACGTTGCCCTCCGTCCCCAGCCCCTCGATGATGTCTATGTAATATACCACCTCCACCACCACAATCTGAGTTCCCTCATTCCGATCCCCCATCGAGTGTTTGTGATAGAATGATTGCCTAAATAAAGGGCCAAACAGTTTGTCGTGCAGACCATTGCTAAAAGAGCGAGTAGTCTCTCAATTAATGAGCAGATCTCACCATGAAAAAAACTTGAAGAGTTACTGCAGCGGTTATTTAATGGTCATATCTGTTTATTCATTTGGGTAGTCGATTATTGTGTATGGTGAGTTCTTTTATACTTGTTCTTTGTGCGGTATTTTACTGGTATTTTCTGGTGGCCGGGGGGCGTCGAGCTGTGGGGCTGGTTTTTGTTTAGAGTGTGTGCTGTTTTTGGTTATTGTGTTGTCCATAGGAAGAGTGTGTCTACCCTGCAAAGAGGTCATCCATGTGGTGGGGCTTTTTCTATGAACATATTTCTGCAATTGAGTATCATTGTAGGTGTACGTCCTAACATCTCCATAGCGGAGGTACTTGATTCACTAGTGACGAAAGGACGCAAAAAAAACTCGAAACTCTCGAAATCACATTGAGCGACTATCGTAGAGCGGGGTTTGCACTTCTCCTCTCAAGAGTCCTATTGGTTAATCTCATCCCTTCACCGTATTCTATTATGTCAGAAATGCGCATAACGTATGAGGCCTTCGTAAGAGGCACAGACCCCGCCTACACGACCAGCGCACTATGCGATTTTAAGGTTCGCGGAAGTTTCTGTTCCTTTCATTGTTGCCACAATCACGTTCATTTTCAAGCGCAATAACAACTACCTACTCAATAAGGAAACAAGCCTCTTGGTGTAGCTCGGCCACAAGAACAAAGTCTCGAGAATGAAGATCAAAGTGTGAAGGAGATCGTCAGCCATTATGTGAGAAATTGCAAAAAAAAAACACTGCAAAGCACTCTTTCCAACGCGGATGGGCGAGCCTACAACACAGACAGTCTGACAGAATCTAGGTAAAGAGTCGAGGGAGCAACAGAACGAGCGAGCGGACACCGTCGCTTTCAAAATGGTTGAGCGTCGGGATCTCAAAACAGTTGTCGTCTGACGCCCTTCTGAATTGCAAAAGTGGCATCACCTTTGCAGCTGCGGACCCACATGCGCTACTCACGGCAAAGGTCGTTCCATTCTACTCATTCTTGGGATGTGCCTTCAGAGGCAGTGATCATGATAGCTGGAGGGCAGTTGCGATTTTATTGAGGTCGCTGAACGTGATAGGTGGAACCAGACCCTTAGCGTGTTGGGGGTGTGGTCAGGCTGCCTGGGTACTCGATCAGGGTCAATACGTTGTTACGAGTAACAACGGTGAAATTTAGGGAATTATGGTAAATTTTTACCGTTTCAGAGTGACTATATACCCCCCCCCCCGCTCGACGGCATTTTTGGAGGAAAAAGTGGGCGGAGTTTGGTGGGTTGAGTGGTACCAGAATTAAATACTATAGAGAGGATGATGGTGGTCGAGGTGTGGAAAAGGGGGTCGTATCAAATCCACCTTGGGGGAGGGGGGTCGTAAAAATTTTTCGAAAAGTAACAACGATAGGGTTGACCCTGTCTCGACAGAAGCCCTCGCGCGGCAACAAGGCAGAGTCAGCGGACGAGTCGCAGCGCGTACTGTAGTGATTTCGCGTCAAGTTAAATAGAATGTACCATTGTACGTCCTACATCGCACATCACGCGCTGCGACTCGTCCGCTGACTCTGCCTTCTTGCCGCGCGACGGGCCTCCTGTCGGTACCCAGGCTGCCTCTCGACGCCCATACACCAGTGTCGTTGAATGACGTCATCAAAACCACCACCTTTCGGCCATAGTGATGCCTACCTTCTAGGAAGAGGCCTACGTCTCATGATACACATGGTGAGACAGACGCTGCACACATCCATGTGAATTTGTACAATCTCTGACGAAGATCAAACCGGGACGCAGACATCACCAATCTAAAGAGCTGGACACAGCACCACGTCGTAACATGTAGTGAACCACATTCGTGCAGTGGGCAAACTGGCAACATCAGAAAAGATAACTGAACTTGCGCCAAACTGGCTTGAAATAGAAATAGGAATCAAAACCGAATCAAGTAGATGAGCGGTCTTTCGGTTTGGGCGGCAATCCTACTTCAGAGAGCTGTTATTTCGGCACTAACAAACTGATTGTCGCAGAACATGGTTCATATTTATGAGTTTATTCTCAACAAATACAAGGAATAAAAAATGTCCCTCCATATACTTACCAGGTCATACGGGCCTTCCGTTCTTACGTGTTTGGCTGACTTCTAGAGAGATACCCACATTGACATTCGTGCACACTGACTGGCGCCCGCACGCCAATTTAAACATCAAATACGCAATCAAGCGTTGCTAAGATTTCAAACAAATTCGAGATAACTGCCTAACCATGAACTGTCACATAGAAGCATGGAAACATGGCCAACAATATCGTGATGCATAAACGTGCGTGGGAAATGTTTCACAGCAGTAAAGATCGCGCGTCGCGATAGATAAATCACGACAAACCCTGAACGGTAGCACGTAATGTCCGAACAGCACCAGTTTTCTACTTTCTTCTGCGCTCTCCTCGCGAAATAGTGTGTTATGGCAACTGATCCTAACTCAAACCAAGGTCAACCCTGCGTTGCACAAATACCAAAACTTTTGCAACCCCCCGTTCTTAACACATTCACGACGGCGCCCCTTTTCCACTTTTCGGTCGCGTGGGACGGACGCGATTTTGTGGGCGCCGCCGCCTCACCACATAACCGCAGATTTTGTTTTGTAAATGAACAAAAACATGAATGTCACAAAATAATTTCTGCAATGTCCAATGCGTAAAGATTATCTAAACATATAACAGTAGGATTTCGATCAGAACGACAAATAGTGGTTACGAAAAGAGAGCATTTATTCACTTTCCCCGTGAAGGAATTTAAAAGCATTTTACACTCGATTACGAGGTTTGCCCACCTATCTGTCCATTCCTAGCGCCCGGC